TGTTCATAACAGCTTTGTATATGAGAGACCAAATCCAGAAGCAACCATGTCCATCAACAGGTGTGTGGTCTATCCACCCAGTGGGCTGTTGGTCAACCATGAAAAAGAATGATTCATGCATATCACAAACAAGACAGGTCTCAAAAAATTTACAAAGATCTGTGTGAAATTCTAAAACTGGTGACTCTAAACCCGGTGCTAGAAGGTGGATCAGGGGCTGCCTGCGGCTGAGAGAAGGGACATGAGGAGACCTTGTTGGCGGTGGGCATTTTCTATATTGCACCTGTGGTAATAGGTAATAGATAATGTAAATTTCTTGAGATTATATTAGGCTGCAGAATTAAATAAGGACATTTCATTGAACAAAACTGTAACCCAACAAAGTTGATTTTTAAAATCCTAAGCAGAAACATATTGCCACTGCTCTCTGCTCAAAGGTCCCAGCACACTGTGGGAGAGACAGTGACTGCAGAGGGGACCTTACAGCTCAGGGTCCCGAGAGGGTCTTCTTGGAGCACCAGAAGTCTGGTAGTTGGTTCATAGCTGACATCAGTAACCCTGAAGAGCAGCTGCTCATCTTGAGTTAGTGTCTTCCCTGGCAGCTTTAGTCTGGAGCAGGAATATCCAGCCACTCTGATTCCCTAAGACAGGCTGAGCTTCTGCTGGGCTTGGATGGGGGATCACACTGGTGACCTGGACTGGCAGGACTGGTAGTGGGAGGTCTGTCGCCTCACTCCGTCTCTCTGAAAGCTCCTCAGGGCCTTCCTAGACCTTCTGAGCTCTGTCATTTCCTGTGCAAGGAGCACGTTCCAGCTTCATTCTGACTCGACTTCCTGCTTCTGCAATGACCTGGGAGAAAGCATGTCTCCTCCCCAAAAAAGGCCCTGAATATTGATGTCATACGGTAAATATCACTCCTCAGCTAGCTTGCATTTGAGGGCACGCTTTCAAATGTGGACCCTGTGGTTGGCTCACTTCAAGAAGCTTCCCTCACACCCTAGCCCAGGGCCCTGCATTTCATAATGTTGGAAAACATGAATATCAATAAACAGCACACATCCATCTCTGTGTGGAATGTAACATTGTCACATCCGAGGGCAACACATCTTAATCCTGGGTTCACAGCATAAGGAGGTTCAGCCCACTGAGACTCAGTGCGACACGCTAACCTCAGCACGGCTGTTCCACTCGTCAGAATCAGTACAACAATGTAATACGCGGATCCCACTGTGACCTGGTCCCCTGTGCGACTCCAAAGCTTGTCCCTGGCAACCTCTGTACTGATTTCGGTGTCACCAGGGACTCTAGCTCAGCTCCTCTGAGATACTGAGGAGACAAAGTCCTCTTTCCTCCAGCCTTCAGCTTCTGTTCGCCTGGAAACTCTCAGGACCAGTCACGGGGGGGGGGGGGGGGGGGGGGGGCTTCCGTACGTTAGAATTTAGTGACATTTGCAATGGTTATAGAAATTTGCTAGGCTGGGTGCTGGAAATGACCCATGATAGGACACAGGAAATGCCAGGGAGCTGGGGAAATAAATCACTTGGTGAAGAGATTCCTGTGCAAGTCCGAAGATCCAAGTTCATTCCCCAGAACCCAGATAAAAAGGAGCTAAGTTCAAGCTTAGAATCCCAGTGCTGGGAGGCCGGGGCATAGTTCTCTGGAGATTCACAGGCAGCAAACCTAAAATAACCAGTGAGCCCCATCAGAGCAGCGAGCCTGTCTCACATAAAAAAGAAAAAAAATGTGGGCAACACCTGAGGAATGGCCCAGGGTGACTTGCTGGCCTCAACAGGCAAGCCTGCACACACACACACACACACACACACACACACACACACACACACATGCACACAAACGGACTTGGGGCTCAGCAGGCAGAATTTCTGTTTATACAGTAACTCTATTTTCTAGTCTTACCTTTATTGATTTTATTTAAAATTATATGCTGAGGATTTCCAAACCTATCCAAAACTAACAGAAAATATTTTAATTCCAAGATATTTACTACCCAGATGCTCTGGCATTTACTTTACAGCTTAGGTCATGGTATGTTGGTCTTACAGACGGAGTCCTGGTGAGGAGGAAGCATACAAGTTTCAGAAGCGCATTGAAGTGGAGGCGCACACATCCATGTCTGTGTCCTTTCTGCTAGCTCACCCTGTGGCCTGGGGGAGGGGGGCGTCTGGGACTGTTCTGGGCCTTTGACCCTGGTAGTTCTGACTTGCTCTTGTCTCTAGGACCCAGTTCCCTATTCCCGATGCTCAGGACTGTGACCCTCTTAGTGCCTCCTCTTTGGTGGGGTCAGGCTTTTGAAGGCCTAGGAACTCTCCCTTTCCCCTTCCTCCCCCTCCCTCTGTCTCCCTCCCTTTTCCTTTCCCTCTCCTTCTTATGGCCTCTCTCCACCCTCTTTCCCCACAAGGTTCTGCTCTTTCTTCTTCCATGACCGTCCCTGGCCCGCACACCCCTCCACATCTCCCACAAAGTGAGTTCACTACCCCTCTCCTCTCTGCCTTCACTGCCCTCCCATGCACACTGCATATCTGCCTTGCTCACTCCATCAGCAGAAAGGGCCCCACGGCAGCCAGGGGTGCTTCTGGATTCTGGAGAAACAGTGATGTGAGGGTTTCTGGGGGAGGACAGGGAGGAAGGAGAGCACCGTGCTCTGTGTGTTCAGCAATCGGACATGAAGATGGGGCAGTGCGCTGTGGCAAACTGGGGGCTCTGCCTGTTTCCACTTTGGGAAACTTAACACCTTCAGAACCAGAAAAGATTCTGCAGGCATCCTTGCTTCAGCCCTTATCAGCTGTGTGCCTTGGACAAGTCCCAACGTCCCTTGACTCGTTTTTTTGTTTTGTTTTGTTTCACCTGTGTAAGCAGACAAAAAGGCTCATTTCATGGGAGTATTTGTGGGGGTTAAATGATTAGTACTTGAAATGTGCTCAGTGAAGCGCCTAGAACAAGGGGGGGGCTCAGAATGACCCCCGCTTCTGTCTCCTAGACTAATTCCATGGCTGCACAAAAAGAAGTCCTGAAAGGGCTCCATGTTCAAGGCCACGGGGCCACTTAGAGACAGGAATGGGAGCAGCCACCCAGGCCTTTCTCAGACCAACAGTCACACTGCAGTTTCTGCTGTGCTGGGTAGGCCCTGCTGCTCCTGAGTTGAGTTCAGGTCCAGCATTCCTTTCCTCTCACCTCAAAGCTTCCCTGCAGAGATGCTACCATCCACACTTCCGAGGTGGGGAGGCTCAGGCTCAGAGAAGTGCAGTCACTTAGTCATCCGTTCTTCCTGCAAGGAAGGCTGAGAGGCAGACTTGAGCCCAAGTCAGGCCATCTTTAAGCCCATTCACCTCTGAATAGCTTTGTTGCCCTATTTTCTTGGGTCAGGTTCCCAGGAGGCGAAGTGTGGAAGGCCTGAGGCTGCAGGAAAAAGCCCATCCAACCAGTCAGGGTATTTTCAACTGCCTCCAGTCCCTGACCGTGCACTAACGGCCTCTCCTGTCCGGGCAATGTCATACATGGGTGACTTGGCCACATGCTGTATGCTAAGACGGAAGCCCCTATTCATCTGGGGGAAGGCCCACCTCCCAGGAAGCTTTCCATCACCTGGCTACTGGGAATCAGGACACAGACTCCCTGCTGTGAAACTTCATGGCAAAGACCCCAAGGTTTCTGGGACTTGTCTCTCTTCTGATCACCTGAAGCTGCCAGGCAGGAGGCCACATGCTCTGTCTTCATGATCCTCCACATTGTCACCACTTTGCTCACCTCAAAGCAGATAGTTTTGATTGATTGATTGATTGATTGATTGATGTGGTGTTTGAACTTAGTGTGGGTTTTATTGTGGCATTTTTTCATGTTATTTGTTCCTGTTGATTCCCATCCTCTTTGAATCCCCTTTTGCTTCCTTGTCATAGGAATTCTGCTACCCCCTTTCTCTCTCACCCCACTTAAAATCCCCTTCCTCCAAGGACTCTAAGCTTGTCTACCACAGATACCTGCTTACCCCATGCTTCTCGCTGCTCCATTCACAGTAGCCAGGAAATGGGACATTTCCAACAGATGAATGGAGAAAGAAAATGTGGTACATGTACACAATGGAGTATTGTTCAGCCATAAAGAAAATGGAAATCATGACATTTGCAGGAAAGTCGTTGGAACTTTAGATATTTATTCAAACAAAATAAGCCAGATTCAGAAAACAAATACTACAAACTTTTCTGTGTGTGTGTGTGTGTTGGGATGGGGGGCAGAGAATACTAGAAAAAAGACCGTGAGAGAAGGAGAGGAGGTGGCACCCTCAATAGGAATCTGTCCACCTTCAAGCCTTTGCCCGAGCTGGCCCTCTCCCTGACTAGCTCAACCGTGAGTCTTGACAACACCTTGGGTCCAGTTCCTGGCCTTCTCACTTCCTGCTGCGTGACCTCTTCCAGGTTATTTCATCTCTCTGACCCATGATGTTCTTTTCTTATGAAACAGTGGTAGTGGGGAAGGGAAGACACCCAATGTAGACAGCAAGCAGTGCCTTATTTAACCCATTCAGCCTCTTAGATGCCTTGGGGTGGAGTGGGTGAGGTATTGGTGTTCCTGTCCCTGTCACAGACTTTAGGACCTGAAGTCACAAGCGGAAGTCCACATAGCTGCAAAGTGGTAGAGCCAGGATATCAGTCCAAGTCTGCCTGACTCTGGCAGTGGCCTATGGTCATTATAGAATAGAGTCATTGTCTTTACCCACCTTGGTGACAGACAGAAGTGCCAGTGGGAGGAGACCAAGGACACTTCCAAAGCTGCATCAGTATAAGGTGGTCCTCCTGGATCACACCCTCTGTGTGAAACCAGCCTTCCAAGGCCTTCCATGGTCTTCCACAGCCTTTTGTAGCCTTTCATAGCCTTCCACAATCTTCCATGGCCGCCCACCATCAGTTCCCAGGATCGTGGTCCCTTGTTATTGGGCTCAACGTGAAATAACTGTGTCCACTACTTCTTTCTCTCTCTCACACCAGGGCCTGGTTATCGAGCGCCTAGGACGGAGACCTCTCCTCATTGGCGGCTTTGGGCTGATGGCCCTCTTCTTTGGGACCCTCACTGTGACCCTGACCCTGCAGGTGAGACATTGTGCCTGTCACTCTTCGGGGGGATCACCAGGGAGCTAGTTCTGGCTTCATCACTTTGGAGCCTTTGGCTTGTGGGCTCATCCTCTCAATAGATCTCTCCTGTAAGACGTCTCTCCCAAGGAGCTTCCTTTTCAGTATACTGGTGGTTCCTGGAACTTGGAGACAAGAAACCCAACCTCTGGCCCTGTCAATCCCGCAGATGAGCTGTGTTGTAATGAGCAGGAAGTTTCCCTTCCCTGACTCTCAAACTACCTATCTTTGGAGTGAGGGGATTATGTTAGATGCCCCTAAGGTATCCCTCCAGTAATCACCTCCCGGCAAGGGGAGCTGGGCACTGCCTGCCAGGTGACTTCTCAGTGACCTCCCTGTCACCTGACTTCCTTGACTTGGAATCCTGGCTTTTTCACTTACCACTCTGCTGGCTCCTCTTGGGTCTTAGCTCTACAAGGGCAAATTGTCCTCTTAGCCTGGGATGCTGTGAGGACTGATGGACAGCCTGTGGAGTGAGCAATCCAGGAGCATGCATGGGCCCATAGGGTAGGTGATCCAGGAGCATGCATGGGCCCATAGGGTAGGTGATCCAGGAGCATGCATGGGCGGTGGGGTGGGCAATCCAGGAGCGTGCATGGGTGGTGGGGTGGGCAATCCAGGAGCATGCATAGGTATTTATGTGGAGGAACAATAATATCCACTATCCAGACAAAATTCAGGGTGTCTCTTTTTAAAAACTTACTGTTTTCTTTTATGCATATGGGTGTTTTCCCCTGCATGTATGTCTGTTCACCACATGTGTAACTGGTGCCTGCTAAGGGCAGAGAGGGTGTCAGATCCCCTAAAACTAGAGTTAAATGTGGTTGTGAATCACTAGGTAGGTGCTGGGAACAAACCTGGGTCCTCTGCAAGAGTAGCAAGTACCCTTAACCGCTGAGCCATTTCTCCAGCCAAAGATTGCTTCCTTTTATGTAGGGAAAATCCAAATCATAAAAAAAATGACCAGAGTTTTGCAGCAGGATGATGGCAGAGGTGGGATTGGACACCAGGGTCTCGATTACCAGCCCCACATCTGTCCCTTCTGCTCCCTCCCCTGCTCAGAGCAACTTGCATTCATCAAGCACTGACTGAACTGATAAGTCTTGGTATTATTTTTAGGAATAAATTTTAACATTTAACGTTGGGCGTCGTGGTCATCAGTCAGATATCCTAACGTTCCAAACAGTCCCAGAACAAGGCAAGAGTAGTATGGTGACGTCAGAAGCCTGTCCCTCAGAGGTGGTGCTGAGCTGGCTCCTCCTTGGGGAACAGTGTGCTGCAAGAGCTAGTATTTCCCCATATCCAGACGTACAGTCGTTCTGGACTGGGTGGCTATGCAGTGTCCTTGGCCCTCTGAGGTTCTGAGAGAGGGAGAGGAAGCTGCTCTGGAGTCTTTCTTCTGCCTCAGGCAACCCCCTGGTCTAAGTCCTACCCAACAGGACCTCAGAGCTCCCTCAACACCTGCCTGTAGGTGAGCGACAGGTCCTCTGGATGTTCCATGAGTGAGTTAGCTCTGCACACTCATGGGAAGGCAGGAGTGTAAACCCAGTACTTTGCATGGTAAGGATGACAACGGGGAGAATTTCAATGTGGCAATACCCGACCATTTCCCCCTATGATTTGCTTAGAACAAAGCATTCGATTGCTGTTACTTGTACACTTCCTTACCATTTCCTACATCCTGGGGCCTGCGGGATTCTGCAAAGCATCGTCTCCTTGCATCCCACGTCTGGGAAATCAGAGGGCAGAATGGCTGATGGTTGCCATTTGCAGCAATGGAAGCTTAGGGATATGAAATGGCCAATCACACAGGCGGAGTCAGGAAAAACACAGGTGCATGGACATCTTGCTGTTCCTAGCCAGTTCACATTTACCTTCTCCTGCAGGACAAAGCCCCCTGGGTGCCTTACCTAAGCATTGTGTGCATCTTGGCCGTCATCGCCTCATTCTGCAGTGGCCCAGGTAGGACACCCTCTTGCATCGTGCCTGGCCTGGGGGATTGGGTGGGGCTCAGATATCTCCTTCACTGGTGGGGGACTTAGGGCTCAGGAAGAGCAAAGCCTAATGGTGTGGGGGTAAGGGTGTGCCCCAGCTTTATACCTTACTAAAATGCAGTAGGCTGCCTTCATTCTGCCCACAAGGGCAGATGCATGCTAACTGACATACCTGCCGATGGTAATGGCCAATAGCCCAATAATGATGAACCTGGGGTGATGTGTGCCAGGCTTAGGACCGCCTGGTGAGGAATCAAAGATAATCAAGTTACACCTGTGTCTTGGAGAAGGTGCAGGGTAGTGGGGAAGTTCACTGATGATGGTGTCTAGGATGGATGAGTCACTGCTGATCAGCTGCACTGAAAGAGCTTGAGAGAAACTCCCACAGAGTCCTGGCAGGTCTAAGGAAGGTCACTGTCACTTGGTAGCAGGGGAACTCCCCAGCTGCAGACCCAGCCCCTACCTACCAGATTGCACAGTGCCTGTTGACTATAGCCAGGTTGGGCAGAATCTCAGTGAACACAGTTCTACCATTCCCTAGCCGGGCAGCAACAGGGAAAGTTTGTTCATCTTGTTGTGCTTCAGTTTCCCTTCTGTAAGATGTAGTGTTTTTGAAAGCCTTGCCATTTTCCTGGTCTTGTGACCGTGTCCAGCTAGAGCCTCCCTCAGACTGGTGTTAAGAGGTAGGGCACCATCCAACATGGTTGCACACTCTCTCCCTGAGAGAATGTTCACAGCCTTACTTTGCTTTTTCTCTATCTTGTTGGAAAGACAAAATTGTGGGGCCAGGGCTTAGTCAGTCATATATTGCCTGGTGTGCAAGGTGATCCCAGGATCTCATAAGTCAGTCTTGGTGACACCTGCCTGTTAGGTTTTAGCAAAACAAACGGAATTAAACTTCTGTCTCATCTAGTGTTACTTACTTTCAATCACTATGTTGGTGCCTATTTGTGACTGTTGGATGGAAAGCTTTTGTCCCCATCCCAACTATCAAGGAACTGTGATAAGATGGTGGGGGGGCATGAAATGGTCAGGGAAACACCGGGCACACCAACACATACACATACACCCACACCATGAAGGTGGGGTATTCAGAATGGCTGGAAGACAAGGGAGGCATTGTGCAGGCTAGATTTATGTTCACTTGACACAAGTAGAGTCATTTTGGAAGAGGGGATCTCAATTGAGAAAATGCCCTCCACCACATTGACCTGTAGATAAGCCCCCATGGTGTATTTTCTTGATTGATAATTGGTGTGGGAGAACCCATCCCACTGTGGGTATGGCCTCCCGTGGGATGCTGGTCTTGGGTGCTATAAGGAAGCAGGCTGAGCAAACCATAAGGAGCAAGCCAGTAAGCAGCACTCCTCCATGGTCTCTGCATCAACTCCTGCCTCCAGGTTCCTGTCCTGACTTCTCTCAGTGATAGAATGTGGCCTTAGATCTATAAGTTGAAATTAATACTGTCCTCCCCAAGTTGCTTTTGATCATGGTGTTTTATCACAGCAATAGAAACCCTAACTAAGACAGGTACCTACCTGGCAGGGTAGTGAACTGCCAGGAGGATAAACACCAGTACAAGCTGCAGAAACCTGCAGATTGGAGGTATGGACAGCAGCATCTACAGAGAGCATACAGTGTGCGAGGCCTTGTGTCTAAACGCTTAGACTCTCACAAAAATACCGTGGGAATGTAATTAGTTCGCCAAGATAGCTGCCCAGCCTTTCCCTGCCATCTGAGGGTGCTCCTGAGGTAGCACATGAGGCCTCCGGGAGAGACAGGCAGCTGTTGTCCAGTCACTTACACAGGATGTCACTTCATTTCACATTGACTGTGGGGGTCTCTGCAAGCACCACGCCCAGCAGAGTGTCAATGCACATAAGGCAAGAAGCAAGTCCCATTCAACAGGACTCAGTAACCAGTGTTCGTCCAAACTTCAAGAGTCTGACACCGGGTGGTTTATTTCAGGTATATTTAAGCACAGCACAATTTGGGAAAACATTTCTTGGTGATGATTAACACAATCCTATGGTTACATCAAAACTCTTGTAAAGTACAAGTTACATCATCCATAAAGATAGGTTCTACGGATTATGTAGATAACCGATACAGCAGGCTTATTATAAACAAGCTTCATGGTAAGGGTCTGGAGACAGAGAGAAGATAGCTGTAAACTGACTGAAATAAACATTAAAATCTGTGGGAGCTCATGAGGCCTGGCCATACAGACAGTACCGAGGTCAGCAAGCCATTAATCACCTCCCTTCCCAGCCTTCTGGGCAGAAAACAGGTTATATATCTCTCCCTCTGAAGGGACAACCCCTCCTGTTTAACATTCCTGGTTAACACTCCTGTGAGCACAAAGACCTCCATGTCTCCTACCACTGATAACCAAGAGCAGCCCCTGACCTCTCCTGTGGGCCCCCTGGGCTACCTACTGATACTAGCCCAGGGGCCTCCCACTATCAGCACTGAACCTACAGGATGCTCTCTTGCCTTCCTGCTAGTCAGTACCGTTCTGAGGTGGGAAGGAAAAGGGTTAGAGGTGAACCGCCAAATTCTTTCCTTCCAAACTAGTCTTATCCTCAGTTTACAGACTGAAAGGAAAGCGGTTCAGATTGATTGCCTCCTACATCACAGAACTGAGAAACGCTGGGTTTGGACCTCACCATCTTGTCCTAAGACCCATGATACAAACCTGGCTGATGAGCATTAGCTGTTGGCTATAACTAGAGTAGAATTAGGTCCATTCTCAGATGGCCTACAAGGTTGACAACTTCTTAGATGGCTCAGTTGCTAAAGGCACTTACCACCAAGCCTAATGATCTGAGTTAGGTCCCTGGGACCTGCATGGGAGAAGGAGAGAGCCACCAACCCCCACAAGCTGCCCTCTGACCTCCACATAGGCACCCACACGTGCGTCCATAAATGTAATATATTTTTAATTACTCAGAGGAAAAGAGGTTCACACTGAGGATTCTGGATATGAGGAGGGGGCTTCTACTTTCTTCTTCCCAGGACGAGGTTAACCTCCATCTTCACAAGTCTACCCTGCACGCACCTACACAAGACCCTGTCCCTCTGACAGACCCTCCCAGCTGGAGGTGACTCTGCAGAATGCTGGTTTTCATAGTTTCCATGGGTTCCCGATTCAGGCATCATCCCCACTCAGAAGTCAGGGACTGGCCTTGGGTTCTTAAATTCAGACCCCACCCCACCAAAGTCATAGCACTTGTTGTCGATGGAGAGCTTTCACATCTTAGGGAGTGACTCAGCTCCACACTGGTGCCCAGGGTCCCCTCCAGGGAGGTCACCTGCACCCTCCAAGTATAGATAAGCTTTCAGTCCTGACCCTTCATCCCCATACCCTGTGTTCACTCAGCAGCCATGCCTCTGCAGCATGCGATCTCAGCCACCAGATGGATTGCTTCTAGGACCACAATCAACTCACAGTGACAGTGCCCAGCCCAAGGCCTCAGGAGATTACCTATCTCAGGGAAGTCCAGTCTGTGAGAGCTTTGCCACCTACCGAAGCCTTTAGGGCAGAGCCAAGCCCAGGAGGAGCTCTCTAGGCCAGAGAGAAATCAGGATGCTGAGGGATAAATGGCTGAGAATCCCCACCCATGTGGCCTCCCCATAAGGAAATGACAGCAAGCCAGGGACCATCTGGAATTACCCTCCCAGGAGGAGGGAACACCATAGTTTTCCCCAGACAGCTGTCCTGAGCAATCAATTTAAGGAGACCTGACAGGGAATTGAAATTAGACAGAACGAAAGAACACAAGGACAGCAGTTTCCTGCTACATATTTTATGTGTGCACAGCCCAAAGGTGGCTCAGAGAATCCCATAAACAAGGCAGCTGAAAGCCTTGCTTTGAAGGACAGAAGATCTCGACACTTCATTTCCAGTCTGAAGGCTGTCATGAGGGCCTGACACCTGCAAGGAAATGTGGGCTTAGCGGGGAGGAGAGAGGTACCCAGATGAAGGATGGTCTTTGAGGGTAGGAATTAGGATGGCATTGAGCACTCCAGATGATGAAGCTGGCCCAATAGAATGTACCAGGTACCTACTTAGCACACATCTGGTATGAAAAGGGGTCCCCTCTACTTGTCATAATGCCCTGACCCTGTGCAGCCTTTCCTGCAGGAAAACATGACCTGAGGCCTGGGTGAAGGACAGAAACAGGAGCCCTCCAGTTACATAGGCCAGAGTTCCACAGAGGTTTTAACATCTCAACCAAGCTCTCGCAGACCTCGTAGGAGCATCTAGAGTAAGGAGATGGGGCCAGAGGTAACTGAAACAGGAGAAAGAGAGAACTAGCTGTGCCCTCATCATATCTACAGAGAAGGAAGAGGAAGGAGGCTATTCATGACCTGGGGAGCCCTTGTGGAGTCAAACCGGGCATTAACCATTTTTCAAAGGGTTTCCAGGGAAGGGAAATGACTAAGGGAAGGCCATGACTAGTATTCTAGACTCATACATTATCCCTTCTTGTTCTGTGTGTCTGTGAGATCCTGGAGCCAACTGCATGGCCTCAAGAATCTCATTTTGGGTTAAAGAGCAGAACAAGAACTCTGCCAATAGGTTCCATCACCACTAGGTTAAAAGCCAACAGATATGAGCGGCTAGTGTGTGCATGGCTCCAGATATTCCTGCATGATGAAAACTGAGCAGGTGTAGGAACAAATGAGAGACTGAGGGAGGGAGAAAGAGGGAAGGAGAGAGAGAGAGAGAGAGAGAGAGAGAGAGAGAGAGAGAGAGGCAGAGAGAGAGAAGGAGAAAGAGGGAGAAAGACAGGCAAGCAGGCAGACAGACAGACAGACTCCCATGCATGGTTTTGGCCTCCTCACAACTGAACTAAGCAGTTTAGATGAAATTCAAATTGGGTAACTCTGTTCCCTGAGGAGTGAGAAAATTATGTCTAAACCAGAGTGACAGGAAAATTAAATTCTAGCCTTTGTGAGTAA